CTTTGCTCCGTTTACTCATTCCTCGTTGTCAGTACTGCTTCCAACATGATACAGTATTTCTTATAGTAGATGCCATAAACATTACTTTGTCTAGTGTTGTGTGTGTGTGAGCGCATTTTTTGTATTTAAGGATACTGTATATGTGAATGTACAATATATATATATATATATATATATATATATATATATATATATATATATGTAAAGTGCTGCATAAATTGATGGCGCTATATAAGTACCTGAAATAAAATCAATAAATAATAATAAATATTTATTTATTTTTTTATTGCCTACAAATGTGTTATAAATCTCCAGTGATATTTGGAATAAAAAAAAAAATCTCTTGCATTATTCCTTTTTTAATCAGTCAGATTTACTGAAAGCTTCATAGTATAGCACAGCAAGAAACATGAGGACATTTTTTGCCCAAACAGCATAAAATAACAGAAAGACAAAAAGCAGGGGCAGAAGGTGAGAAAATGGTTGGAGCAGTGTCTACTGCATGCTAAAGTTCCCAGGAAGACCAAATGTTATCAAAATTTTACACTTTACTATTACACTTTACTATTATTAGGTATGTAGTAATCTATTCCTACAATGAAATAACCTTACAAAATGTAAATGAATGTGCCACAGTATGAGCATTTTCAGTTATAATAATTAACACGCAATACACTGAAGTTTCACTTAATGTTTCTTGAACGTTTAAACTTTGCAATTCAGATCAATAAAGTAGAGAGCATTATTTATTAAGGCAGTTTAATCATTTTCACTTGTCCATAGCAATACACTATGACCTTAGTATACCAAGACGTAATGTGGCAGATTTCTGATTTGATAAGGATTACTCTACATCACTCAGTTTGCACCATGTCAAGCTCATTATACTTTTATTATGTTAACATGCAACAACTGTACCTTCACAGTAGGCATTGTCTTCTCTAAGAGACCGGAAACCATCACGGCAGATGCAGACAGCTTTGTCAACCAGGTTTTTGCAGACTGAATATTCCACACAATTATGTCCATCTGAGCAGAAATCATAACCTAACGATGACACATGTTTTGGTTACTAAATGGTAAATACATTTCTAAATCATAGAGGTATGAACATTTGAGTTGCTCTTGGTATAACAGGCTAGGTCTGGCACACTATAGGATTTAGTCTTGTTTAGTTAAGCATGTTAAGTATATTCTAAACATAAATATACATAAATATACAGAGATCTGATTTACTTAACCATTTGCCTCCCTGCCACAGTACATTTTCTGCGGCAGGGAGGCACGTGCAGGCTCAGTCACATATATATCCACTTCCCGACCACCCTGTAGCAGATGTACTGCTACAAGGCAGCCGTTCTGTGCAAAATACATACAGATGTGATTTTGTACTTCGTGGTGTAGGGGGCCCGCTGCAGTGATTAGTAAATGGGTGCTGGCCAATTGATGAGCGCCGACACCCATTGTTCGGCGAGGAGAGTGTCAGGACACAGCTCTGCCTATGTCCTGTCAGCGGTGATCTGCTCGATTTTCCAGCACATTGGCTAAAAAACCCCCCCAAAAAACTTAAATGTACACACAAAAACACTGGTTAGGAACATAGTTAACCCTTTGATTGCTCTAGATGTTTAGATGTTCCCGGCCAGTGACATTAATACAGTGGTACTGTATATTTTTAGCACTGATCACTGTATTAGTGTCACTAGTTCCCACAAAGTGTCAGTGTCAAACTTTCGCAGTCCCACTATAATTCGCTGATCGCCGCCATTACTAGTATAAAAAGGAAATGGAATTCCAGTATATATACACACCATAGCTTGTAGATGCTAGAACTTTTGTGCAAACCAATCAATATATGCTTATTGGGATTTTGTTTTACCAAAAACATGTAGCAGAACACACATTGGCCTAAATTTATGAAGCAATTAGATTTTTAAAATATTTTTCGTGCGTATGTTTTATAGCACAAAGTAAAAAATATTATTTTGTCTTCCAAAATTGTCAGTCTTTTTTTGTTTCTAGTGCAAAAAAATAAAAAACCCAGATGTGATGAAATGTGACCGAAAAAAAGCTCTATTTGTGGAAAGAAAAAGACACATTTAATGTATGTACAGCATTACAAGACCACACAATTGTTAGTTAAAACGCAGCACCGTATAGCAAAAAATGGCCTGTTTATGAAGGGGGGGGTAAATCTTCTGGAATGCAAGTGAATATACATGCAGTGCACCCCTCCTGTGACTGCTGTGTCCACTGGACACAGCGGATCACTGTTACTGGTAATTGGTAACTGGGTATCATGTGATTGCCGTGACTGGTCATAGCAATTACATGATAACAATGTAAACAACCTGTCATTAATGGCTTTCCATTCATGAACAGCTTGCTTACCGTTGTGATCTGTGATTGGCACACAACAATCACATGGTTCCTGACTACCCGCACCATGTAATTAGCTTAGCCAATCACAGATCACAATCCAAAGCACGTTGTTCTTAAATGGGAAATCTATTCATGGCAGTTAAAGTTATTGCCTATACAGTGATCTTCACTGTAAGCAATAAAAGTGTAAAAAAAAAAAAAAAATCCCTGATCACCTCCCAGAGTAGCACAGTGTCACTATGATGACACTGAGCTACTCAGATGACAAGATGTTAAATACAAAATGTTAAAATTAAAAAAAAAAAAAAAGTTTAGAAATTGAATAAAAATTATTATTATTTGTTTAACATATTGTCATAAGTCAGTATCCCTGATCACTGCCACGCCATATGATGACGCTGCACTGCACTGGTGACAGTATGTAAAAAAAAATGTGGGGAACAAAAAAAAAAGCATATTTTATTTAATATCTTCATTTTCCAAAAAACAGTGAAAAAAAATTACAACTTTAAAAATCTCGCCATGCCTCCTACTAAATACCTCAGACTGTCTACTTTCCAAAAAGGGGTCATTTGGGGGGTATTTGTACTGCCCTGGCATTTTAGTGTCTCAAGAAATATGCCATCAGTACATCAGGGCTGATCAATTTGCAGAAATATATGCCATGGTTTGTAGATGCTATAACTTTCACACAAATCAGTTAATATACACATTTTAGCCTATAATTATGAGAAATTTGATATCTATATATATATATATATATATATATATTTTATAACCGAAAGTAGAATTTTTTTTCAAACATTTCAGTCTTTTTTTCATTTATATAATTAAAACCCAATGGTGATCAACCACCACCAAAAGAAAGCTCTATTTGTGTGAAAAAAAAATATACATTTCATTTGGGTACAGTGTTGCATGACTGTACAATTGCCAGTTTAATTAGCGCAGTACCGAATACCAAAAAATGGTCTGGTCATGAAGCGGGGTAAAACCTTTTGGAGCTCAAGTGGTAAAACAGATTATATGTAAAAAAGGTCATTTCGATTTTAATACTGTATTAATGTTGCTCATTAAATTTAGGTTCTTCTGAGTTGAAGTACTACACAATTTTTATCATTACTGCTTCTTCTCACAATGCCAGTCAGCTGACTCCATGAAAACAATGTACTGCCTGTGTGGTTGATAACCTAAAAGGTTTATTCATCTTTAAATTAAAAGAAAAGAAAAAAAAATCAGTAAATAGGACACATTAGGTTAAAACCTATCATATATTGCACAGAAATTGATCCGTGTTCAAAGTCATTATCTTGTGTCCAACCATGAATTCCAGTATGTAAGAATTTAAGGATGCCCTCAAGGTATTTGGCTCTGTGCTGGCTAATAGTTAGGATGGATGGTAGGTTTCTTGTTTAAAAGGGAGAAGAAACCATTACTTCATCTTTTCCTTAACATTGAGAATTTTGTTCCCATCCCTCCACTTTCCTTTCCTCCCCTCCAGTGCAAGAATAAAAGGAATGCATTGAAAGCTGGGACATGTAATGGCATATCAGACCACAAAACGACAGTCCCAGATGACATGGAAACAGGAAGGAGAAAGAAAAGCGCTGCAGCTGCGTTTTTTTTTTTTAGTAATAAAAAAAAACATAGGATAACAAAAATACAGGGATAAGCAAATTTTTCAGAGAAATAAATATGCACATAAAGATTGGCATGTATGTTGGGCATTATAGCTGCTTTTAGGTTTATGGTGGAAAAAGTGGACTAACGTTTTAAGCGAGTGGTTGCCTACAAACATCTTTACTTAAATTGGGTAAAAAAAATATACGAGTTGCATTAAAAAAATACACTATCCCTTTAAAATATGCACTACCAAAAATTCACTGAGGGGAATTTATCAAAGGTGGAGCAGCGAGAATCTAGAGCAGTTGTGAATGACAACCAGTCGGCTTCTAGCTTTCATTTTCAAAGCCTAATTAAACAAGCTGAAGATAGAAGCTGATTGGTTGCCGTGCACAGCTGATCCAGATTCTGGCTGCTCCAGAGGTTATAAATTCCCCCCAGTGTACGTACCTTAACATCCCTGGCGATCTGATTATTTCAGATTTTTGGTGCTGAAAGCGGGTACCATTATTTTGCATGGAAATTTGGCATTTTATATTGTAGGCCTGTAATTCTTAGGAATAACTCACTAAAATCTGTCCGAACAAGAGTCTAGTAAACATCCCGGGTATGATAAAACTTGAAACACGAAATCATAAATTATAATTTATTACATAATCATAAAAAATAATAATATAATAATACATTTAATTCAATAATGTAATCAAACCAAAAACACTGAAATTTGAAATATAGCGCCAAGTTCACACATCCCTGAGCAAAGTCGCAAAATCGTTTTCAGTGTCTGATGACGAATTTCCCCACGAATCATTATCACTCAATTCTGCAAGTGGTTCTGATTTACTATCGCTGTTCTCTAGCTGGTCTAAAACCGCTTTTGACCTAAAGGGATGCTTTTTGGACTCCATGGACGTTTCTCAGTTTCCAGGCAATAAGAACAGTAAAAATGCAGGCAGGGCACAGGACAAAGCACTAGGGACAAAATGTATGTGAAATGCTTTGATACAGTAATGTTTTACTATGTGATTTTAGTGATTTTGGGGAATTTCACTGTTTGTCATTTTCAAATTTCCCACCCAGATGACAGATGCCGGCATCCGCCGGATTACATTGCTGGGGACACTGCAGGAGGGACATCGTGGGAGCACAGGACATGGTAAGTGATCGAGGGATCGCGGAGCAGCGCCGCATGGTATTCCCGAGTGTAGCTCGGGGTTACCGCTTGTGGTACTGAAACTTTACTCCGAGCTACACTCGGGAATACCGCCAGGGAGGTTAAAGGCCAGGTGTGACGCCACGCCGCCGGCACCACGAGGAGCCCCGGCGGCCATCTTGCTTACGTTAATGGTCAGTAATCTTTTATTTTTACTCCTATCTGTGCTACTTACCTGTTAACGAAATAAACATCCTAAAGATACTGCACTATGTGGGCACCTTTGTTCTTTTGAGCTCCTTTGGGAGCTGACTACACAGAGCAAGCTACATCCATTGCAAGGTGATCCTCAGGTGTGGCAGTGTCGTCAAGGAGTGTGGTATGCAGTGACCAGATCTGACCAGATCCTTCTGATGATATTGGATGACCTGTGATTTCTACAATTTATGCGCATTTGATTTGCGTATCATATTATCCTATATCACCTGACCCACGGTCTCCGTCATAGGACATCCTTACATCACTTGGGATCCCACCATCACCTCCTCTATGAACTTTTATATTGGATTTCACGATTTCCAGCACTATTAGCTATTAATTAGTAGCGTATATATTTATTTGCACATGATCACTTTAACATAGACCATTTATAGTTGTAGGCCTTTGTAGCCTGACTGGAATACTTTTAAGACATTGCTAAGTGAAGCCTAGTCATTTCTTCTCCCCTCCTCACAGGAGTGAGCTCTCAAAAGCTGAGCTCGGAGCAACTGCATCAGGAAAGGAAAGGAGAATGTGAGGGTGCTTGAATGAGAGAAAAAGCTCACTTCTGTGATGGTGATTGGGAGAAATAATGCCTAGACCTCACTTAGCAATGTCCTGGGTTGTATTGCAGTCAGGCTTCAGGAAGTATGTAAACAGCCTACACCTTTAGCAAGGGCATAAATGATCTTTAGTCAGAGCTGCAGTTTTTGTTTTTGTCTACAAGAGTTTGTTTTTGTCTGCAAGCACCACTTACAGTGAAGGAAATAAGTATTTGATCCCCTGCTGATTTTGAATGTTTGCCCACTCACAAAGAAATGATCAGTCTAAAAATCAAATGGTAGGTGGAGTGTAACACAAAGACAGAATAGCAACACAAAAAACAAAAGGAATACATGTCTAACAAATGATGCACTGATTTGCATGTTCATGAGGGAAATAAGTATTTGATCCCTTTCACAAAATATGACTTAGTACTTGGTGGCAAATCCCTTGTTGGCAATCACAGAGGTCAGATGTCTCCTGTAGTTGGCCACCAGGTTTGCACACATCTCAAGAGGGAGTTTGGCCCACTCCTCTTGGAAGATCCTCTCCAAGTCATTAAGGTTTGGTGGCTGACGTTTGGCAACTTTCAGCTCCCTCCACAGATTTTCAATCAGATTAAGGTCTGGAGCCTGGCTAGGCCACTCCAGGACCTTAATGTGCTTCTTCTTGAGCCACTCCTTTGTTGCCGTGGCCGTGTGTTTTGGGTCATTGTCATGCTGGAACACCCATCCACAACCCATTTTCAATGGCTGAGGGAAGACGGTTCTCACCCAAGATTTAACGGTACATTGCCCCGTCCGACTGATCATTTCTTTGTGAGTGGGCAAACATTCAAAATTCCTTCCCTGTACATGCAGAAGCAGTTTTTTGGTAAAGTTAAATCAACCCTATAAGTCAACGGTGATTGAATTCTACCACCCAAATAAACACCACTCCAAAGTTCTGCCTGTGCAATTAAGCCACGTCACAAATAAATGCATTCGTTTAGTACATGAAAGTGTGCTTGAAAAAAGGAGGAGAAAAGGCAAAAAATTACTTTCCAGAACAATTTCTTTGCTGCCCATGAGTTAGCATTTGTATAAGAGGCTGTCCATGTATAACTCTGGCGAGACTTCTCTAGCTGGTTGGCGTGAACAGAACAGGGTTGATTACTAAAACAACAAATTCTGGTGCAGCTGTATATGGTAGCCAATCAGTTTTTAACTTCAGCTTGTTCAATTAAGCTTTTGTGAAAAAACTGGAAGCTGATTGGCTACTATGCACAGCTGCCCCAAATTTCGCACACCAATTTCAGTAAATTAACCCAAATGAGTCAACACAGTTACTGTCACAGAAACCTTAATTAACAGTACATTGAATAACCTCTGCCCACCCGATATAATTTCTAACCCGATCCAGTCGTAAGACTATCCTTAATGATTGCTGAAATGTAAAGCAGGAGTGAGTGACCAGCTCATCTGCAATTCCTCTAATATTTTTAACAGGAAATAAACTGATCTGCAGTACATAATCTGGTGAGTTGGCTATAGAAAACTGTATTTTTGGGCCCAATCTTACAACTGTACATGTTCTAGTATGACACGCTTATGAATGCAAACTAGTTAAATAGGCAAGAGAAAAAAAAAAACTTTGGAACATATCCCCTTAGACATTTTGCTTTACAATTTGTTCCACGTTATAGGAGGTTATGTTATGTGAAGGTTTAGTCTTTAGATTTTTACCATGTTATCCCAGTCAATACAAAACCACTATATATCTACAATAATACAGCTATTCACTGTGGCCAGTAACCATGGCAATAAATGATCTTGACTTAGATTCCGCAATGCACTTTGTGATGGATTCTGGTTATGAGAGGAGTAATTTCAGATTAGTACTGGGGTACATTATCTAGAGATCAATAAAAAAAATAAAAATAAAAGGAAGAAGAAAGCATTCCTTAGATTACAAAGCTGGAGGGCTAATATTCATTCTTTGACAATGAGCAATCAGTATCAGTCAGAAAGGAAAGTGGTTAGGCTAGGACAGACATTCAGATGGTTAGGGTAGGTCAGACAGACAGATTAACAGGCATGATTTAGGCTTATTAGTACTTTGTATTTACAAAACTGTCACTTATTTTGTGACTAGCACTGACTTTCCTCCGGATTACTTTACTATCTTGAAAATAAACTAACAGGTGATCTAGAGATACACTGTATTGCCAAAAGTATTGGGACACCCTTCCAAGTCGTTGGATCACCTCCATGGTCACAGGTGTATAAAATCAAGCACTTAGGCATGCAGACTGCTTCTACAAACATTTGTGAAAGAATGGGTCACTCTTAGGAGCTCAGTGAATTCAAGTGTAATACCGTGATAGATTGCCACCTGTGCAATAAGTCCATCCGTGAAATTTCCTTGCTACTAAATATTTCACGGTTATCGTTAGTGGTATTATAACAAAGCAACTGGGAACAACAGCAACTCCAACTGGTAGGCTATGTAAAAATGACAGAGTGGGGTCAGAGCATGCTGAAGCGCACAATGTGCAGAAGTCGCCAACTGTTTGCAGAGTCAATAGGTAAAGACCTCCAAACTTTGTGTGGCCTTCAGATTAGCACAACAATAGTGGTTAGAGAGCTTCATGGAATGAGTTTCCATGGCCGAGCAGCTGCATCCAAGCCTTACATCACTAAGTGCAATACAAAGCATCGGATGCAGTGTTGTAAAGCACGCCGCCACTGAACTCTAGAGCAGTGAAGATGTGTTCTGTGGAGTGACAAATCAAGCTTCTCTCACAATCTGATGGACGTGTCTGGGTTTGGCGGTTGCCAGGAGAATGGTACTTGCCATACTGCATTGTGCCAAGTGTAAAGCTTGGTGGAGAGGGATTATGGCATGGGGTTATTTTTCAGGGGTTGGGCTTGGCCCCTTAGTTCCAGTGAAGGGAACACTTAAGGCATCTGCATACCAAGATATTTTGGACAATTTCATGCTCACAACTTTGTGGGAACAGTTTGCGGATGGCTCCTTCCTGTTACAACATGACTGCGCACAGGTGCACAAAGCAAGGTCCATAAAGACATTTATGAGCGTGTTTGGGGTGGAGGAACTTGACTGGCCTGCACAGAGTCCTGACCTCAACCTGAAAAAACATCTTTGGGATGAATTAGAGTAGAGACTGCAAGCCAGACCTTCTAGTCCCACATCAGTGCCTGACCTCACAAGTGCGCATCTGGAAGAATGGTCAAAAATTCCCATAGACGCACTCCTAAACCTTGTGGACAGCCTTCCCAGAAGAGTTGAAGCTGTTAGAGCTGCAAAGGGTGGGCCAACTCAATATTGAACCCTATGGACTAAGATTGGGATCCCATTAAAGTTCATGTGCAAGTAAAGGCAGGCATCCTAATACTTCTGGCAATATAGTGTATTTCTGTACTGACTTAATAGAAAGAAGAAGAGTTTATATGAGCAACATTCATTCATTTAAATATTTTCATTATAAGTTCCTTTTTTTATACAAGTAATAACATCATCTCTGTTCTCAGCTGCATAAGAGACTTTGAGAGGTGGGGGTGAAGAAACAACAACAAACACTGATCTTCCTGAAAAATGGCTGTGGTGTGTGTGTGGGGGTGGATGGCTATCTCCACAAGACTGATCATTGGAGGACAGGCAGGCTATACTCGCAGCACAGCCAGAAAACTGACCACACTGAGATGGATGTGCTCCAGTGTTAATTTTGTTAAGAAATGTTTTCAGTGACAAAAACTAAACAAAAATCAATTTGCATTTCCGTTAATTGACAAAAAATCAATTCCATTTTTCGCCAACGAATAAAAACTGAACAAAAATGTGAGGGAGAGGCGTTTACCCATGTGAACTGCTTTGAACTGCATTTACTGTGAACAGTAAACAGATTCTTATGATTGAAATAAGCATTACTTCAAGTATTGGTTTGGTTATGCTATGCCTGCTCTTGTAGCTGCAGACATTTTTTGTGGTGTTCAGCTACTTGAACAGTTAAAGATCATGTAATATGCACAATGCCATTACAGGCAAGAGAGTTTACATTTTTTTTAAGTTATATATCACAACCGGTAAATCTGTGTCTGTAGTACATGTTCAAACCTTAGTACCATAAATAATAACACGTCATTAGATTTGTACTTTAGGAGTATATAGTGAGTTCTGAAATTCTAGAGAAATGTTTTAATAATGCATTACAATTTACCTAAACCTATCAGAGTTTAGTCAACTACAATGTAATGAGATTTAATTATACTGGAGATTTTAGACTAAAACAAAAACAATTCAGAAAACTAAAATCCGACAAA